TCAAAATCGAAGATAGCTGCCTGTCGGCCATGTTGTTTATCCGATCAGTCACAAAAACTGCCTTATACAGCTGAGGACCAAGGGGAACCTACATATAAAATTTTAGAAAGATCCCTCTGGGACTTTGTGAGAAATAGCGATAACAAACTTTCACTATCAAAATCCAAGATGGCTGCCTGTCGGCCACGTTGTTATCCGATCAGTCTCAAAAGTTACCCTGCACAGCTAAGGACCAAGGGGAACCTACATATATAATTTGAGAAATATCCCTTTGGTACTTCTTGAGAAATACCGATAACAAGAATTGTTTAAGGACGGACGGCGGACGGCGGACCACGGACCACGGACGCAGGGTGATTTGAATAGCCAACCATCAGATGATGGTGGGCTAAAAATTACTTTCGTTGTTTTTATATGATTTATGATCGTATGCAACGTTCGAAAACCAAAGATGCAATACTGCAAATAATAGAACTATATGTGTATGAGATGAATTTCAAAGCTTTATTGTGAGTTTATAGCTGACAATACTGTGTCCTACATGTATACCATTTCATACTTTACTATCAACAAAGATGACTGGGTCTTTCACTCGTTGTGCAATGATACATTGTGTTTAAAAAGGGTTTTACAAAAAGGGTCCGCTATAGGCTGTAGTTATTTCCAGGACGATTAGCAATGGTGAACAGCATGCTTATAATAAAATAAAACTTCAAAATGTTGATTTTTTTTTTATTTAATGTTACTTGTATTAAGCGGAAACTATTTAATGTTACTTATATAAAGCGGAAACTATTTAATGTTACTTGTATAAAGCGGAAACTATTTAATGTTACTTGTATAAAGCGGAAACTAAATTGTAAGTAAGTACATTTTTTCTTTATGCAATCCTACGTAAAATGGATATTTTTAGTGTTATAACTGTATACGATATCGAAGAAAAGGTCCCGGCGGTTGTCATTCTATACGGGTTTTAGTATTGTTCAAAATACCTCAACACATAACAGACAATCTCTCGAAACTACGATACATAATAAAAGCATTAAATGGCAACATTATTCACCGATTCCCAACTGGTCAGTAGATTGTGCACGGCATCCACAGTCAATGCGTTTAGCGCTGGCCTGTTTACAGTTGAAGAGCAAGGACTGGGGTATATTACAGGGGATAAACCGTTTCTAAATTAATGTTTAACATCCATCAAATATGACGTGTTCAAACACACTCTACGTAAAAACAGGGCCAAATATCCAGTATACTTAAAATATCATTGTAGCTTTGGCTCTTCTTCGTGAAACTGCACTATTTACGATATCGCGCACGAGCTTTTATGAAAGTCAATTACACAAAATGTATATATGTATTCACGTACATGCATGTCGACCGCACGTAAGAGCCAAGATGTTAATCGCTTTGTATACAACCAGACATATTTCCAATTACACCTGCATTAGAATAAATTACCTACCTCTAATTTGCATCATTTTCATCAGCCCCATTGTATACGTTGACACACGGAAAACTTGAATACGTCGCTTACATAATGCGAGTAGGGACAGTCTGTCGGTTTTTTATATTGACCAGTGTCCATTATGTTGAAAGGGTCACAACAGATAACGACGTTTCTTCAATTGTGTTAGAATGTAAAAATATCCATTACGGAAGCAAACGCTTTTTTTCTTATGCTGTAGCTATAGTAACATGTAGCTATTGGTACCCACCCAACACCTTCTCTTTAAAGGTAGCGATAATGTTCCCAGTAATTCTCAAACAAATCCTTCCTTTGAAAAGGATGACCCTTATTCCCAAATGAGTTACAATTAGTTGTACCGACGAATTCCGGAAAAAATATGAAGGATCTGGTAATAAAATGTTTTATATAATCAAATATGAAACAAGTGATCTCAATATACTGGTGCTATCGACTGACTCTATATCTTACAAACCTTACAAGCGAAAGAAAAGAGATATTTACTTCATTGGTTTGGTTTGGTTTGGTTTTATTTGGTTTTACGTCCTATTAAAAACTAAGGTCATTTAAAGACGTGTCTCCATGTCGGTAATAAAAAATATATATTTCGTGTATTTAACATAAATCATGAAAAACGTTCACGTCCGATCGGGGAATCGAACCCCGGTCGTCTTGGTTAAAGGCAAGTGCGCTATCCACTGCAACACCCGGACATTTCGCCATGAATGTAGATACGTGGTAATTTGATGCCGATTTACTTTAAAGAGTGCTACCTCACTTCAGTGAGATAGTGCATGATGAAGGCACCGCACCCGGCATAGTAGCCAACCCGGTCACATTATACTGACAACGGGCTAACCATTTCGGTCACATTATACTGACAACGGGCTAACCATTCCGGTCACATTATACTGACAACTATGTGTATAGAGAGGTATGGGACACTTCCAGGAACGGAAATATTGGATGGATGTCATCTGAAACCGTCATAGAAACGGCAAATATTGGATGGTTATCATCTCAAACCGTCATAGAAACGGCAAATATTGGATGGTTATCATCTCAAACCGTCATAGAAACGGCAAATATTGGATGGTTATCATCTCAAACCGTCATAGAAACGGCAAATATTGGATGGTTATCATCTCAAACCGTCATAGAAACGGCAAATATTGGATGGTTATCATCTCAAACCGTCATAGAAACGGCAAATATTGGATGGTTATCATCTCAAACCGTCATAGAAACGGCAAATATTGGATGGTTATCATCTCAAACCGTCATAGAAACGGCAAATAATTGCGATTAGTGCGATTTATACTGCAGATCTAATTAAAACTGCGGGACAACGTCCTTAAATGACATTAGCTGTTTACAGGACGTTGAATCCAGTAAAATATACAAAAACCACAGGGAAACATCTACATATGACGTGTCGACTTTTATCTCATAGTCGTGTTCTATTTCGAATAATAATCTGTCAAATCTGACTGATATTGCTTCTTCGAAAAACGACACGAATTACTGAAATTATAAAATACAATTAGGCATCCATCTGCTGGAAATGTAACGACGTGTTTTGTTGATTAATAATCACATTGTACGCTTAGAAGTAGCTTTGTACTTGTTTTTAAACACTCGTCGATAAAATATACGATGCATTCTCCAAAGTGTGAAATGATATGTTCAACTGCTATACGACAGTTGACAACTGACAGGTATTGTCAATAATTTTAACGGAAAAGTTTGTTTAGATAAAAACTCCGTGTCATTCACACAATATTGATACATGTATTAAGTGTGGTGTAATCATTGGACTACTCTTTATTAACAACTCAGCCCGAATTACGCAATAGCAGACATGTAATGAATCCAGGTAATACGATACTGTAGAACTGGAGAAATATAGGATATTTTGTTCGTCGTAAATGTTACTTGAATGTTGCTAGGTAAGAATAAGAGCAGAAGCAGCTTAATCCATAGGAAATTAACCTGAGTTTGGGGGGGGGGGGGGGGGGTAAATTAAACTTATATGTACTATTAGCAACGGATTAAGGTCGATGCCTAGAAAAAAATTATTGTAATCACTGGTATCTTATAGCTACAATAAAAAGGACAGAATAAAAAAAAAATCAATACATTTATTATAAATGGCATCCTAAATCAAATCAAATCAACAGATCGTTTTATCTCCCCTGATTGATGCCAAAATTTCATAAATATTTTGAATTAAATGCAATGAACAGTACTTAACTAAATAAGAACATCCCTGCAAATTCTCCAGGAGAAAGGACATATCAGTGGCAAATCGTTTATGAGATAAAATTAACTAAAATGTCCTGGAACCTTTTAAGGATTGAAGAGGACTCTATACCGTAGACAATCTTATTTCCAACATATTTTTGTATTACCAAGAGGGAAAAAGTTAAAAAAAGAGATATGATTTAATTTACCACATGTCTTTTGTCTTTGAGTAACACAATTATCATGTTTCCTGCCAAGAAAGAAAAAAACGCACAAAAATGCACTGTTTCATTTGTTGATATGGACTTAATTGGATCGCCTGGCGGATGCTCATATTCAATCAGCACTTGCAGTGTTTGATTCAACGTTTAAGAAAGCGGTTTTCTAAGTTCACCTCTTTTTCAACTTAGCATGCTCAGCTTTTAAATACATATACATGCACAGGAATTTTATAGAGTGCTTAAACACTCTTCACTCTGTGTGGATGTGTGGTCACGTACCCACCTCCTCAATCAGCTGTACGTGCAATTATACAGCGTTTATCTTTGATTTAAGTCGTTGCAGCAAACGCTTCTTGCAAAACATTTTCACATATCTGGTATCCAAATGTTAGTGATAATGTGCGATATCTTCTTTTATAAATACACACTAAAGAAAAAAAAAATCATACATGGATGTATAAGATATTTCTTAATTTACTCATTTTATTATATTTCTTTTTGATTTGATCTATTTATTATGGATTTATTGATGTATTTAATTAATTTATATATGTAAGTTAATTATGATTACTTTTGTTGTAAGTTTATTTATTTTTTGTTTTATTTTATTTTTTATTCATTCCTAGTCTCTGTACGACAGGGACAAGTACTGTGGTGCTAACTAATCAAAGACCTCTCTTCTTACTGTAAAGGACAGAAGCTAGACAACACTAGTACTATGTTGCATGTTCATATATGGATAGTCCTTGGTATACAAACTATATCAATAGTAAGGTATGGACCGACAAAACCCTTAATGATTTAACTTGTAAAGAAGAAAACATAGCTCATGCTGGTGACAGTTATGAATAAGTGTTACATTTCCGAGATTTAACTTCGAGTTTTTAATATACAAACATATACTCCAAACTTTTTTTTAAATGGCATCGTCGGCACTTTATCATTATACCGATCGAGAACCGTCGGCAATTTCCGTAAACGAGAAAACACCACGATGTATTTTCTCGTATACGGAAAGTGCCGACGGTTCAATTCACGATTGTATATATACAGTGATTACTCACTCTCCTGGCGTAGCCGGAAATGAAATATCAATTTCAAAAGTCTGTTGTCATTGACGACATTGCCGATGGCAGCTCCATTCTGAAGACAAAATGTAAGGCTCCTCTCAATGTGTATGTATGTGGCATCTAAATTAAATCGTGGGATTTCAATTTCCTAACAGAATTACTGTCACAAGTGTATACAATACGTAAACACTTGAACTGACTCGGCTTCTGGCAAGTGGCTGTTCCGCTTACATCGAGTGCGCGAGTAAACCATACAGCGAGCGGGCCTGTGTAGTGATAGGATTTCAAAATATTAAAGCATACCAGTTTCACCCACTCTGTGCATTGGAATTGCACATCATTTAAAACATACCATGGTAATTTTTAAAGCCTATGTTAGGGGAAAGGAAGTCCAATTTATCAATATTTCTACATTTTGTAACGTCAAACATGCATAATTGGTTACTACCCTGTAGGCTGTAACACCACGTGGTATTTCTATCCAGCCACTATAACTGACTGATGTTACTACCCTGTAGGCTGTAACACCACGTCTTATTTCTATCGAGCCACTATAAATGATGTTACTTACCTGAAGGTTGTAACACCACGTGGTATTTCTATCGAGCCACTATAAATGATGTTACTTCCATGTAAGCTGTAATACCACGTGGTTTTTCTATCAAAGTCACTATACCTGATGTTACTTCCCTGTAAGCTGTAACACCACGTGGTATTTCTATCGAGCCACTATACCTGATGTTACTTACCTGAAGTCTGTAACACCACGTGGTATTTCTATCGAGCCACTATACCTGATATTACTACCATGTAGGCTGTAACTCCACTTGGTATTTCTATCCAGCTACTATACCTGATGTTACTTACCTGAAGGTTGTAACACCACGTGGTATTTCTATCGAGCCACTATAAATGATGTTACTTTCCTGTAAGCTGTAATACCACGTGGTTTTTCTATCAAAGTCACTATACTTGATGTTACTTCCATGTAAGCTGTAACACCACGTGGTATTTCTATCGACCCACTATAAATGATGTTACTTCCCTGTAAGCTGTAACACTATGTGGTATTTCTAGCGAGCCAAAATACCTGATGTTCCTTCCCTGAAGTTTTTAACCCCACGTGGTTTTTCTATCAAAGTCTCTATACTTGATGTTACTTACCTGCATGTTGTAACACCACGTGTATTTCTATCGACCCACTATAAATGATGTTACTTTCCTGTAAGGTGTAATACCACGTGGTTGTTCTATCAAAGTCACTATACTTGATGTCACTTCCATGTAAGCTGTAACCCCACGTGTTTTTTCTATCGAGCAAAAATCCCTGATGTTACTACCTTGTAGGCTGTAACACTATGTGTTATTTCTATCGAGCCACTATAAATGAGGTTACTTTCCTGTAAGGTGTAATACCACGTGGTTGTTCTATCAAAGTCACTATACTTGAGGTTACTTACCTAAAGGCTGTAACACCACGTGCCGTGGTATTTCTATCTATGACGCGAATGGGGTAGTCTGTGGGGAGCGGGGGGGGGGGGGGGGGGGGGGGGGGGGGGGGGGGGGGGGCTCTGCGGACACGCAATCTACCTCTGACGTCACGTCTTACTATATGGTACGCCCCCTCACAAACGATCAATTGCCAAACTGATTTCCAGACCCTCTGTGGTGGAGTAATCGAATGGCCCAGAAGGAAAGTGGTCAAATTGTAGATAACAAAATGACAAAAAATGTGCTGAAAACATAGTCTTAAACGGGAGGAAAGCAAAGTTAAAGTCCAATCACTGGGGACAAAGATGGCGCTATATGATAGCGTGCTGTTTCAGGAATTTCAGAGTCTCCCAATATGTCGTTTTCTTTAAAAACTTAAATGTGTTTCTCATATTTTTCTGATCTAAACCTCTGATTATTGTAACCTCTGGATTTTCGACCGTAGAGAATAGCCTCAGTTTAAAAGTGAAGGACAGAAGGCTAATACAGCATTTACAAAACCCAAGTATACGGGAAGAGACCTGGGACTTCAGATTCAGAATGTATTACTGTTGTTTTTAAAGTTTTCGCTGTAAAAACACAACAGCATATATTTCCTTCACGATTCCACATCTGGAAGCTTCCAGTTTAAGTCTTTAGATCTGCTATTGGGGATGACAACAGTCTGATGTCAATTTGGAATATCAAGCCTAAAGTAACACGTTTCGTCGGCGGGTCTTTTTTTTCTGGTTGATACAAAAATATGTAAACATTGAGCGAATGAACCACAATGAATGGAAGACGGTGTCTGTTTACGAACAAGACTTAACAACACGTGTTTACTAGTACATCTTCTAAATACGATGTGATCGTCAGTTCTATGTTTAACTCAGTATTGAGTTTGTTATTTGTAACGAATTACCAAACCTTGGCGTTAACTGCTCACATTAAAACAGGAATTTTACCAGAGGTCAAGTATTCGTTGTTATAGTCCTTTTTCATTTATAACTCTTTAGTTTGAAAACCATAAAAAGCTAACGCATACACGATTTGAGTACTGTCTGTCCTTTTAAATCTTAAGCATGTTATGATACTATGGGGAAAATAGCGGCGGGCTTCTAAGTTACTTTAGTCTTTACTGGCTTCCGGAATGAACTCGTTTCCATTACTTAGCGGCACATATAATTGCAAGCATTCTTTCAGGGCGAAACAAGAAAAATGTATACATTTACAGGTTTTCAAACTTAAATCAAAATCATATGCGGACAAAATATGTTAGAGACAAGATTTGTATCATCATATTTAATAATTTGTTAATAATTCGGAAGTGAAAGTGAATTTTGGTTTAATATTAGAAGTTGGAGATATACACGATCATGCATTCCTTTTCTAATTAAAAAAAAGTCTTCTGTATATAATGTAAGTATTCTTTGGTTTTAACAATGTTGAGAACTTAATGGACATTTTTGCACTTACAATTTATATCGTATCTTATTTTACATGTCTGGATTTGCTGGAAAGTACATGTAAGTAGATAATCCGACCTGCCTGATATTGAAATTACAGGTTTTTCCTTCATGTCTACCGTTCCTCGGAATATAAAATGATCTTTTTAGAGAAAATAACGAAAATAAAGAGTGGTTTCTGTAGCAAAAAGTCGAGTTTTTAAATTCAGAATGCCTTTGATTCACCATTTAACTAAGTTTGCGCACATTTTCCTGTCCATTAACCCATAGTTACGGGTCGGCAGACATACAACCGGAGGAAACACGATCAACAAGCTCTAGCCAAGAATGCAATTCAAGTATATCAAAACGATTCAACTGTGAACTTTGTAATGAGATTCTCCCTACAGTCAGAATGGGTTATCTAGCCACAGTTTGGTATTCAGACATGTAACCTTCCCAATGATATCGTTTGTATACCGAGAGTTTTCCATGTAATCTATTGCGGAGATGTTCACAGCAGAGTCCAAGCATCACACATGAAAAAGCAGATTTGTATTTGTCTACGAGCATCTTTATTGACATTTCCTTTTTTTACTAATATGTATTTTTTTCCTATGGAAATGAATTCACTTCACATTTATTGCTCAATTTACTCCTCAATTTTAATTGCAAAATACCGTCTTGAAGGCAAAATATACAAAACACGAAAACTATCCGCTGTAAATTGCTTAACTGCATAAACTGTTTTCACTGTAGGTAGTGTTTCATCGTATATCGTGTAAACTGTTTCAACGAAGATGTCGATTGGATAGTGCACCGCTATCGTAAGTGTTTCGCTGTTTAGGAAGTGTACAATGTAGGGAGAGTTTCATTGTTGCTGCTTTATTTCATATTTCATTGTTGGAAGAGTTTCACTGTAGAAAGCATTTCATTATAGGAAATATAATACTGTAGGAAGCTTTTCACTGTACATGTAGATAGGGTTTAACTGTAGGAAGCGTTTCACTGTACATGTAGGTAGTGTTTAACTGTAGGAAGCGTTTCACTGTACATGAAGGTAGGGTTTAACTGTGGGAAGCGTGGCACTGTACATGTAGGAAGCGTTTCACTGTACATGTAGGTAGTGTTTAACTGTAGGAAGCGTTTCACTGTACATGTAGGTAGGGTTTAACTGTGGGAAGCGTGTCACTGTACATATAGGTAGTGTTTAACTATAGGAAGCGTTTCATGTACATGTAAGTAGCGTTTAACAGCAGGAAGAGTGTCAATGTACATGTAGGAAGCGTTTAACAGTAGGAAGCGTTTCACTATACATGTAGGTAGTGTTTACCTGTAGGAAGCGTTTCACTGTTCGTGTAGATAGGGTTTAACTGTAGGAAACGTTTCACTGTACATGTAGGTAGCGTTTAACAGCAGGAAGAGTGTCAATGTACATGTAGGTAGCGTTTAACTGTAGGAAGCTTTTCACTGTACATGTAGGTAGCGTTTAACTGTAGGTAACGTTTCACTGTGCATGTAGGTAACGTTTAACAGTAGGAAGCTTTTCACTGTACATGTAGGTAACGTTTAACAGTAGGAAGCTTTTCACTGTACATGTAGGTAGCGTTTAACAGTAGGAGGGGTTTCACTGTACATGTAGGTAGCGTTTAACAGTAGGAAGCTTTTCACTGTAAATGTAGGTAGCGTTTAACTGTAGGAAGAGTGTCAATGTACATGTAGGTAGTGTTTAACTGTAGGAAGCTTTTCACTATACATGTAGGTAGCGTTTAACTGTAGGAAACGTTTCACTGTGCATGAAGGTAACGTTTAACTGTAGGAAGCTTTTCACTATACATGTAGGTAGCGTTTAACTGTAGGAAACGTTTCACTGTGCATGTAGGTAACGTTTAACTATAGGAAGCTTTTCACTGTACATGTAGGTAGCGTTTAACAGTAGGAGGGGTTTCACTGTACATGTAGGTAGCGTTTAACAGTAGGAAGCTTTTCACTGTACATGTAGGTAGCGTTTAACTGTAGGAAGCTTTTCACTGTAAATGTAGGTAGCGTTTAACTGTAGGAAGAGTGTCAATGTACATGTAGGTAGCGTTTAATAGTAGGAAGATTTTCACTGTACATGTAGGTAGCGTTTAACTGTAGGAAGAGTGTCAATGTACAA